GGGACTTAAAATCCTGAACACAAAGTGAAGACAAAACATGATATCTAATGAACTTCATACTTCTTTGCTCAGAGCAGGAAGCTACTGTGTATCATCAAAATATGGTTCGTTGTCGGCTTTATGTTTAGCTTCTGTAGTTAAATAGAGGTGCTGTGAAGCATTCCATTCCCAGCTTATTCTAAGCTAAGCTAGCCGATTGCTAGCTGTAGCTTTCCATTTATGCGATAATATGAGAGTAGCATCAGTCTTGCAGAATATGAATAAGCATATTTCCTAAAACTATTCCCTAAAGCACTGCAACACAGAAAACACTGAACAAATCCTGCAGTAAACTGGTTTCCTGGTTTGCTACGTGCATCAGAAGCTTCTTTTCATCTCGACACCTGCGATGACATCCATGAATGCATCATCCGTGTTTTAGAATTGAATCACATTGACTCTCTGTGTTGGTACATGTTGTCTGCTGCACCATATCTGCTCCATCCGGCTCCCTGATACATGCGACGTGCAACAGTCGCTGCAGTCTAAATGACGTTTTTAAACTGAGCCTGCATGTTGAACTTTGTTCCATCGTCTTCCTCCAGAATAGAGAACGTTCACACATGATGCTCGGTTCGTTTGTCTTCGTGCTGCGGCTCCAGTTAAGGCCTGCGGCTATAAATAGGTGCTCTCATTAGTATCTGTTGCAGCTCTCTCGCTTGCCTTCTCACCTGGATTAAAGAGGCAGGAATAGAGTCGGCTAAACAGCCTCTAACGGTGTCTGTTGACCTTCCAGCTTCAACAAATGGCTCCAAATCATAATTGATTGAAACAGTTTCGTGACGCCTGGAGTTCAGCCAGAAGTGTCACCAGAACTCCTTGTTATCTCATTTGTTGTTATCTCTGTTGTCTTGACAGAGCGAAAACCAACACACCGAGCACAATCTGCAGAAAGGAGATTAAAAAATTCAAGATGTTTAGCGTGTGTCTGCAGAAACGCCGTCCCTTTGTGTCCACTTGTTGCACAGAACGTCAGCTGACAGCAGCCGATTAAGTAATTTAGCGAGGAATATTGTTACCCAACATCTGCCTGTTAGTCATGAGTATTGTGTTACGAGGCTTTGCATAACTGTGTGGGTGATATCTCGTGTTTTCGGTGTGTGAATGAGAAGCAGAAAGATTGTGGTGGAGAGTAGGTGTTTTGTTGTTCTTATGCAATTTTCATAGTCATTTCTCTGTGTGTGTGTTTTTTGTGTGTGTGTGTTTTACCAGTTGTCAGCGCACAGGGTCTGCAGGCCAAAGACAGGACGGGTTCCAGCGATCCCTACGTCACCATCCAGGTGGGCAAAACCAAGAAGAGGACCAAGACCATCTACGGAAACCTGAACCCGGTCTGGGAGGAAAAATTCAGCTTGTAAGTGCATGTTGGAGTTTTCTTCCTGGTTTGGTAGATGAAGGTTTCAGATGTGATGAACCCACAGAGGTGATTTCAGCAGGTTGATTAGAACTGTGTGGGTGTATACACATGAACATCTCCTGTTAGCTTCTCCTGTCAGCACCTGAACGCACCACATCTTATTGATTGGTAGGTGGGATCTAATGAAACACATGTGAAGGTGCACAAGGACACAAAATCATAACTTAGTTCATAATGCCAGCAGACTAGTGACACTGTGGATTAAAGCATCACAAACAAAAGTCTTGATTAACCCAACTCGCCCATTTAACGGTGTTATCATACGTGCTTATGTTATATTTTATGATTACTGTCAGACACCACTAGTAACCTCCGTCCTCCTTTGTTTTTCACTACATATGTCAGATGATTGGATTACCAGGTTAATCAACTATTCGGATGGAGTGGAGGCCATTTTTAACTACTTTTCAGCTGTGTTGTTGGATATGGAACGTGGTTTGACCATTTTGGCTTTTTCTAGATAAACTGCTAAACAGTTTGAGCCTCATGTGTTAACTGAGGTCACACGACTAGTTGTGACCTTAGTTAACACATAAGCATTTGGACTGTCACTAGTTTAACTACTTCAACATTTTAGGCCTCCAGGGTCAACTAGTACAGTCAAAGAGGATTTAACTCGGTAACTAGTGAGTGTTTTGGTTTTTACTAGTGCAAAAGCTGGACATTTTGGACCTCACTAGTGCAACTAGTGGATATTTTGATCTCGTTAGTTGACTAGTTAAGACTTGAAGCTTAACTAGTTTTTTACTGAGGTCAAAGGATGCTTTTACCTCACTGACTGGGGAGCATTTTGGCTTCAACTTGTTTAACTGCTTCAACATTTTGAGCCTAATGGCTCAACTAGTAAGGTCAAAA